TCAAGTCTCTTCTGCTGGGATTTAAGCTGCACTAGACTTGGATTGTCTCAAACCTTCTCTCACTAGTGTGTCTAACTCCTCCTGCCCCATACTGTTTGTTGCCGCCTGCCTGTAAAGATACCACTTCTAAAATTTGCTCTTTAGTTCAAAATAAGCTTGTTAGCTGACTGTTTCAGTAATGTGCTGTAAAGTACTTGATAAGTATTGTTAAAGCTATCTTTTACTTCCTTCTTCAGTTTTTTCTTCATGGCTGTGATCTGAATTCCCTTCATCAAAACATTCCTCCAGTGATCCTTCCTGAAGAGTATGGTGGTACTTCAGGGAAGCTGGACATCTCCGCATGGAACGAGCTGTTGCTGGCCTCTGAAGAGGACTTCCTGCATGATTTCTCACAGCTGGTTCTCCCGTGTGACAGCTCTCCCCATGACATGCAAGTGAGTGGGGATGCTGATGAAAAGCAATGCGATGATTCTCTGCGAGGCATGAAACCTCAGCTCTATTACTGTTACTAACAAACCAGTAAAGGGAAGATTTCCAGCACAGTTAAGACCTGTTCTGTTAGGAGATGTTGTGAACTCTGCCTTACTCCTAAACCTGCAGTTTGAGAACAGACTGCTGAGGCACTTTACATTGTAGAACCAAAGGAAGCTGAAGAGGGCACAACAGGGGCAGGGCAGAGTTTGGGGAGGATAAAGGCAAAGAGCACAAGTTATGCAGAATACTTGAGGCTCATCAGCCTCTGTGTGAATGATGCAAACTGGCCTATTCTTTCTAACGATAAAGAAAAAAATGTATCGCAGGATGATAAGCTTGATATTTTCTTATACCCTCACCACCCAGGTGAAAAGTGACAGCGATGATTTACTAGCTTTGTGACCATCCAGTCCCTTTCCCTTCTGCAAACACCAGTAATCCAAGACAAGAAAACTGCTTTGAACCCTGCAAAATATAGTTCTGTCAGTGAAGATTGCTTAAAAACATAAAAGTCTAACTTGGCCTGTCCTCTGTCACCTGGTTCAGATTGTGAGTTGGCATTTCTGGAACATCTCAATGAATATTTGGCTCAAATTAATACAGAGCAAAAATTTCTTATCCATGAATAGCAGTATGGACATCATCTCTGAACCTTCCTCACAGTAGAAAGAGCTATAACTGGTGGATTAACTACTACATCATCTATAACTGGTGGATTAACTACTACAACATCTATACCAAGGCTTATTATAAACATGCAATCTTCATTTTCAGAAAACAGGAAGTTTTTCAAATCAAGTACTAAGGCTTTTGATTAGGTACAGCTTCAAATAATGAGGTTCAGGACCAAATAAGAAAAAGCTGTCAGCCACCTTCTCACATTACCAGTTGTTCTTTAATTCAACTGGTTGTGATGACGAATTGGGCAAGTAACTCACACACAGAATTTGTTAGGAGGCTTTGTAGCAGTTGGCACATGATGTATAGAAGGCAATATGTCACATTAAGACAGCAAGGTGCTTCTTCAGCTTGTTACTTTGGGCAGAATTTGAGTTGAAGTCTGTGAAACCAAATGCAGACAGGCTATTTGAAAGCACATTCTTAAATTTCCTGGTATTGTAGCATTTTGTTCACTGTGCTTGTTGGCTCTTTTGTGAAACGTTACAAGTTTGTTTTCAACTTTACCTTTTTTGTCTTTGGTTGTCACGTTCCTGTATGAAGTTAGACTTGAATCATCTCTGTAATATTCACCTGTAGCTTGTATGCCTGTGCTTCTAGGTCTTTGTCTAGAGACAGAACTAAGATTCCGAAGTCAAATCAGGGTAAGATACCTGTGTCTACATAAGCTGTTCCCACTCCCCAAGTTCAGTCTGTTTAATGGTCTTGAATTAGAATTTAACTCTCAGCACACTCTTTGCACACCTTTTCTGCACTGTAATAGTGTGGAGATGGGGGAACCTCACTAGGACCAGGAAAGCACACCCTTTTACTTTACTTTTTGTTTCACTCTTTGGTGAAAAAGAACATCCCTTCTAATTAGAGACTTATCTCTAGAGCACTTTCTCTGGATGAAATCTTTATTTAGTGCCAAGTGTGATAGAGGTACCAGTTATGTTTCTGTAAATATAAAATGGAAGCATTTTGAGGATTTCAGGCATTCATTTGTCAAAGTGCCAAACTGTTATGAATGTCTTTCTTCCTCTCAGTCCCCCTGCAGCGTGACTGCACTGCCAAGAAGAGACTCCTCTACACTGTAATGACTTCTTCATCTGGCAGCAGACCTCATCCTAGAACTAGGGGGCAGCAAATGCCTTACCCGTTGTCCAAGCATTCTAAAAGAGTGGGTTTTGAAAAGGGGTAAACCATGAAGCTTTTTTCTGGGTGGAAGTTCAGAGTTTGTGGGAGCAAGAAACTCATCACTTGAGCTGTTTTAGAATAAAGGTGGGAAGAAATTAATCTTCCTCATTGAATGCATCTACTTTTTCCTACCTTTGTAAGTCAGTTCTTACTTCTCTTTGACAGCTATTACCTGTAGCGCAGGGGAAAAATAAAACCAAAACACCACCATTTTAATCTACTTAAAATAAAGTAGAAGAGTACTGCTAGCCACTTCCTCCTTATTTCTGACCAGAATGTGCTGTGTATTTTGCAGAGATTAATTCAGTTATTTGTGCCACCTAATAGGGCAGTAGCACACAGCACCAGGACTTAGAAAGGTCAGTGGCTGCCTACACTGTTAAACTGCCAGAACGTGGGGTGGTGTTTCTGTTGGTTTAGTGCCTCTTAATTCCAGCCACAATATACAACTAAAAAAAAAAAGTAGGATGGACCATTTTTCCTAGAGGTGAAGGCATGACTGGTATTAGATAGTCTTTCCTTATTTGTGCTGCAGGGTTTGAAGTGGTGGCATTTTGACAGTTAACCTAAAAGAACAGCTACATATGTCCTCTTATGTAACTACTAGAGAAGGAAGTTGAGTATCCAAAATTCAATTTATTGTCCTTACCAAAAAAAACTAATGGTATTCAGAAGAAGGCTGAGGAACCTCTACAGAACCAAAACCCTTTTTCAGGCTTTTATATAATTCTCTTGCATGCCTTAAATAGTAGGCAAACCAAATCCATCTCTCTCCTCTTTTCTCCTTTGCTCACAAACTAAGAATAAAGCATATTATTTAAACATAGATAAGGCTACATTATTAATGCTGAAAATAGCCTATGTTATGCCTTCAGAACTTCTTTTTCTTAAAGCTGGCTGCTGGGCAGTTGATGTTAGGATGGTTGAACTAAGCCAGGCTTATCTTTGTCAGAAATCTGTTACTTCTCATTTGCTCTTTCTTGGCTTTAGAACTCAAGAGTTGCAACCAAACTGAGCCCCGTCTCTACCCCTTTTTAGGTTCATAACCAGTGCTCAGCTTGTCTTACAGAAAGCACAGCTCTGTCTTATATGCTGACGACTGAGCTGAGAATGCTTTGAGCTTTAGCACTTACTAGCAGAGAAATGAGTTTGTTTCCAAAATTTCTAATCTCAGCATTTAGAAAACAAACACTTATTTTAAGTATCTGCAAGCTAAGAGACTAGATAGGAAAAGCTTACAGGTTGTATGGGGGTTTGTTTTTGTTTTTTTCACAGTTCTTTTTTCCACTTGAAGTAACTTTGTTTCCAGAGGTTATATGTAGGTACTTAAGCTGCCCCTGCCAAATCCAAGGCATAGTAAGGAAAGATACTTGAACTGCATTAGGCAGCCATGGCTTTTGGTGTTAAGCAGGACAAAAGGTAGCTGCATATTGTATATAAAAGTACTTGAATTTATACTCTTGCAACTGGGTGTTATAAACCCTGAGGTATTTTCAGGAACTGGGTGACGTATATTTTTTTTGTTACATCTCATTTGAGCATGAGTTAATTATAGTGTTACTCAAACCAGTAATTTTGCCTTCTTCTTGTATGTAGGCCTAGAGGCATTGGGTGGTTAAGTGTACATCTTATTTTGACAAAATTTATTTTTATATTGCATTTTATAAAATGGAGTGGTCAAAATGTGTAATTTTATGATGCATGACTGGGTGATTAAACACATTGTAACAGCTGCTGATTTGATATTTGAAGTGTTTGCCTTGTCTCGTCTTAAGTATTTTATTGTTAAAGTCAGCAGCAACATAAACTTTAGTTTCACACAGGTGCAACTAAGTAACATTGCCACAGCCTCACATTAGTGAAAGGTACTGCTTCCTGCTGCAGAAGGAGCATACTTGAGCAAGTTCAAAGATGATTTTACATTCAGAGAATCACACAAAAGATGCTGTTTGGTTGAAAAGAAATATATTATGACTTAACTGTTTGCTGCATGGAGAAAACAACCAGTCACATCCAACTGGACACTACAGCAGGTAATTAACATTTTAATAATCACATGTAGTGTTTTGCATTGGAGAATAACTGCTGCTTCTTCACACTTCTCAGCAGAGCTGGGACCATTTCAGTAGTTAGTCCGCTTTATTGAGTTTACAGCGCAAATGCCTTAGTGCCCATAATAATAATTTCATGTAGACTATTTTAATAAGCATATTAGACAAGGCAGATCAATTAGAAGCTCTGGTTTTCCACCATAATCAAAGTTGTTTAAGCTCATCATCCACTTACCACTCAGTATTTGGCAAACATACTAAAAAAAGTCACTACAGAAGTTGCCTCTCAGAACAGGCAAGTTTGTGCTTAAAAGGAATTAGAGTCAACCAATTTTTCAACCTCAAAGTTCTGTTCTTTGGTGAGGAATAAGGGGAGTTTTGCCACAACACAGGAAGGTAAGTATAAATTTAAATAAACTTTTGCAGTGGAATGTAGAAATCAAGCAGCACAGCTTACACTTCCAGAAACTGAAGCGTTAGCATACTAGTGCATTATGCTGAATATAACTGTTCTTTAAAATATATTACTTCATACTTAGCTAAATATTACTTCAATAGAAAGATTGTGGCTATTGGACAGAACAGGTATTTTCTTTTGTGCTTTGACAGCACAGCTGCAGTGAATTCTAAAAATGCAGTAAGATAACCATGACTGAAGGTTAAAATATAAAGATAACTAATAATAATTTTGATCCTGCATCAAGCATTATATAATACATAACTTTATCCACCTGCATGTAACATAAGAAACAGTAACACAGTATAACTAAAGCAACAGATGAACATTTTGGCTTTCAGCAAAAAGTTCCCCACTTCTGTAAGCTCAGACAGGTGGAGCAACTTAACTGAAGTCCCTATTAGTAAGGACAATAGGAGCCACGAGGGTCCAAAGATAAAGAAGGAGACAAACCCAGCTGGAGGTCATCTTCACCCACACAGCTGGCCACTTACTTGTCATTGTTTTAAAATCAGCATCAGGGCTAAAAAGTAAAAAAAAGTCAATTAATAGATATAGAAGGCACTTTCCACTGTTCCTTGCTGCCTTTCATGAATTGAAGTTAGGACAATCCTCTGGGACACTGCAATGCAAGAGCCTTTGCAGCAGCACAGCGAGACAACTAAAACCAGGAATTTCCTTGTTGCATATGTTAATATGCTACTCTTAAAGGATACCTTTCAATGAGCTATGCAATAGACTCGTGATGGCTGCTGCTCTGTATTTACTAATTTATATAATATGGCAGTCCTGGAGAAATAGTTACAAGCTGCAGCAGCAGCAGAGGACATGGCCACATGCTCCCAGCAGATTTAGGAAGTCGTATCTCCATTTCAGTGGTATGTATGGCTGTCCCTACACATCTTTCCCAGGGTGAAGAGGCAGTAACATTAGGCTGGCCTCTGATAAACTTCCCAGGAGGCCACCTCAAGCCAGTTTCACAGACATCCTTCCTGCTGCTTGCCTATCTGAAGGATGGTAACCACACTCTCTTGCCCATGCAGCTTTGAAGCAGTCCACTAGGACTACAGCTGCTCATTTTGCCCTTTTACATCTGGCATAGGGACAGCAACTTGACCAGCTTGGCAGGAGTAGCCTATAGTGCAGGCGTTTCCTGTCTACCTAGAAGCACCGGCTGGCACATAAAACCCCTCACTTTGTCTTGCTCTTACCTGTACCAGTTTGTGAGAGTCATCATGATGTAAAGAGAAGCAAGAAAGAGCATGAAGTGAAAGAAGGTGTAGCTATACTGAACACCATCCTTCTCATTGTCCATGACACGGCGCACTTCTCCTTCCTCTGCAGCTTCACTGCTTGTTCCCACAGTCTCCTTCAGAATGGCAGTGTCACTCCCAGACAGTGTCAGCTTGTTCACTTGGCTGTTACTTGAAGAGCGAATGCTGCAGTGTAATGCAGAGACAGACATGGTTAAAAACTCCCAGGAGTTTTCAGTTAGCTGTTTGCTAATAAAGCAAGCAACAGACCACAATGAATGTCTGGGACTAACAAATAACTTTTTAAAAATCCATCTGGAAACACAAGGAAGCTCCTCAGAGAAATCTGTTTTCATCCAAGCTTTCATTAACCTAATTAAACAGTGTTGCTAGTCCAGACCTCGAAACACATTTTGTTTGGTTACATGAACTGGGCTAATAGAGCCTATCCTCATCCACAAAACAGAACACCGTTCTATCAGCTTTGTTTGGCTTGGGCCTGAGATGGCAGCTGATACATTTTTCACTGGACCCAGACTCAAACAAAAAAGGCAGACAAATCCCAATTGTTTACCATTTGATTGACAGCAGCACAGAACCTACCTGGAATACAAAAGGCAAAGGACAAAGATAACCAATCCAACAACACTCTGGGCATCCCACCACTGTAGGGACTTGGGTGGAGCTGGAGTAGCAGGTACCACAGTGGTATTTGCTGGAAAAACGGTGGGTGTAGCTATCTGGGTAATGATGTTCAGCAAGCTTGGGTTACAGCTTCGTTCTGAAAGGGATTTCAAGGCAAATTAAAAAGAGAGACGAGACTTGACAGCAATTAGCTAAGAAAAGATGATAGATAAGCCTGCAATGTTTCATTCCCTCAAACTGCTGATCTCTTCAATTCCCCAGAGGCAGCAGTGGCATTTCCTTCCCATAAGCTAGGCAAGGGCATAATTTATAAATAAAACATTAAATAAAATCAGAACACCCTGACACTGCTTTCTTTCCCCTCACAGATACCCTGGTTTAGTTCTGCGAAGCAGCAAGTTGATGGTTTCAGTCAAGTCAGCTTTACTGCCTCACTAGGTGTTATCTAGACAGGTCAGTAATCCCCACACAGTGATCTGTGATAACAACGAGCCCCATCAACAGCTTCTTTCATACCAAAATACGTTACTCAAGCCATATGTTGCTTACCAGGCTCATTGGACATGGCTGACCAAGTGAGGTACATGGTGTAGAGCGTGATCACAGAGGACTGGAGGAGGCCTGAGCGAGGCTGATGTTCCTGTTCAAAGACAATAGCAAGCTAAGGTCAAGAGAGTACATTTTCCCTGTAGTTGGATAATTTTACCCTACTGCCACAGACTCAACAATTACTAGCATGAAAAACTTTGGTTTGGGCTTCATTCAGTGTTTGAAAGACTGGAAGAAACTCCTTATAGTAAAACAGTTTACGCAGTGAGCAACTCAAAGATGGAAGGAATAAGCAAACCAAATCCAGCTTTTCTGTGCCCAAGACTTGGTTATGGGTTCTTACTGAGTTAATCCCAACTTGCTTAACAGTTTTGTAGATATGAATCTAGCATGTGATTTATCTGAGCAATACCAGTTCAGAAACAAGTAACATGCAAGCTTCCTCTCACATTAAACATGTTTACACATAATTTCATGCCACAGCATTAAGCCAATAAATTCCCTGCTTATTTTGTTTTTCCTTAATGGGTTTCTCTGTTCTGCCAGAACCTTCACCACTAAAACCACACCAGCAGTCTCTCACATGGAAACAAAGTCCAAAACAATGTTAGCCAAAAAATAAGCCTATCTTCAGGAAATATGTCACTATGTAGTACATTGGTTTCAAAGCAAGGATTTTTTTAAAATCGTTCCTACCTAGCACAGCTATGATAACCAAATTTTAAAGTTCTTATGTCTGAATTTGTACTACATCTTTCTTACTTCCTTGCTTTATATGTCAGAAGAAAATAGCAGAGAAAAATAATACCTGAACTTTTGGAAGGATAGAAACGATGGAGACAGCAATGCACAGGATCAAATTGATGCTTATGAAGAACTTGTTCTCAGTGCAGTCATCAGGCATCGTGTAGAAAACATAGAAGAGCACAATAAAAACCAGCGATAAGGCATAGAACAAGCTTGTACAGAGCAGCAGAGCTGGAGGGGAAAAAAAATTACCTGTTACAATCTGCATGTAGTTTAACAGTACATCTAAGGTGACTTAATGACCGGCTACCACTGCAAAGAGACAGTCCCTCTTCCTCCCTTGGAAGTCCACTTCAGAAAACTGCACTAGCAGAATGCATTTTTATTAGGTATGGCTAAATTTCTGCTTTGGCTCACTAAGTAGTGTAGCTCAGAGGAAAGTCAATGCTGCCCACAGGGGAATAAGACCTGTTTTCAGCAGCAGTTTAAGTGGTTTAACTGATGTCAAGCCACATAGGAGTGCTTTTTGCACACTTCTAATGGGCCACTGACAAGCCCCAAATTCCCCCTTCTATGCTAAAGGCCACCCCTTTTCCTTTCCAATCTGCTATGTTCTTTGTAAGAAGCTACAAAACACTGTTGCAGCATTCATACCTATGAGCAAAGAACCACAACAATTAGCACTTTGTAATTTAGTGGTCAGCTTGGGAGCATGAGTGGAGGCTTTGTTTTGTACCACAGCCACTGTCATCGGTACAACCCACTTCCTGAGGGCCTCAGCTGGGGAGGTGGCAAAGCAAAGTCACAGTTGAAGAGATCTAGGCTACTAGCTCCACACTCACACTTCGAACTAGCCAAGCATTGTTTATTATGGCTGTCAGATCTGCTAATCAAAAGCCTAAAATATTTTGCATCGTATTTTATGAGAAAAAGGCAAGATTGCAGCTACTAATTCCAAATGTTTACATTAGTGACTGGAGACTGTGGAGTGTAATTCTAGGATACGTTTGCTAACTAGTAAATGATAATCTGCAGAGTACTGGCCAGCAGAAACAATTCCTTTACAGGTTAAGATTCCTACCTGCATACCAACATTTAGAATTTCCCTCCTCCATTTTATCAACCCAGCTCTCATTCCAGGAGTGAGCAAAGTCCACAAGAAGCACCAACTGGATAAGAATGAAGCAGAAGGCTCCAAAAATACCAATAACAAACCAAGCTAGGAAAGGGAGCAAGAAGAATAGGGTTAGTTTTCACCCGGTTAAAAAAAAAATAAATTAAAAGCTCCTAATTATACTGCAGACAAATAATGAAAAATCTGAAACTTTATTTATAAATGCAGATGCTGTAAATCACTTCTGCCTCCATCCTGGAGACTCACGCAAGGAGTCCCAGCTATTTCAAAGGTGCAGCCTATGCTAGTAAAACTGAGCATGGGAACATGTAGCCCAGCGTGTTTTCAGAATGAATGCAAGATCTAACACAAGACTACTTTGCCTACATAAGTACCATCACATCTAATTTCTTTGAGGATCAGCAACCCTTTCAAGTCCCTTTGATGTGGCCTGACAGTAAAGGTTTCTTGCACAGACTTTTCAGTGCTCTAGGGAAGTATTTAGCACTTGTCGGTGCTTTGAGCTGCCTCTAATTTAAAGAGTGTCAGAAGACTCAGCCCAGTAGCAATTGTGCCATGGAGTCCCAAATTAATACCCAACACCTATACACTTGAAAAGAGATTGCTTATTACCATAACTTCTGCTGCTCACCAAAACAATGGATGAATGAAGATACTCTAATGAAGTAGGACAGAACCTGTGTGTTCTACCAGATAACTTTTACTATCACAATTATAGCCTGGTAAGTCTGTGAAAAGATCTGAGGTTATTAAACAGAATTCCATGATGACTATTAACTGTACCTCTTGTGAACGGCCCTTCAGGAATGTAAAATGCTCCAACCATGATAGCCACAATGGCAGCTATTTTGAAGAACCAGAACCTTTAAAAGAAGATAAAAGTTGAAAATACTGGTCTTACTCTGCACACTATCGTCATGTTTTACATTATCTGCAAGCAGCTTGCTGTACACAGATGAGTGTCTAACAGAAATATAAAGAAAAAAAAAGTTGTACTCAGTGGGATTAAGATAAAGATGTTCACCAAAGCTGGGTGAGAGGGTGAAGCAATGGTCAGTACATGGGAGAGAAGGGAGACCTAACTGCTGTCTTCAACTGCCTAAAAGAAAGACAAAGACTACAAAACCAGACTCTTCTCGCAGGTGCACAGTGAAAGGACAAGAAGCAACATATGCAAATTGCATTCTTTGAAGCATTCAAAACTCAACTAGACAAGGCCCTGAACTACCAGCTCCACATTGGTCCTGCCGTAAGCAGGGGGTTGGATCAGATGATTTCCAAAGGTGCCTTTTAAATTAAATTATTCTGATAATCCAGACATCTAGCCCAGAACTAACCCAGTTAAATCAGTGAATCAGAAACCAGTTGCTGCTCTATTGCTGAGTCAGACTGGCCTAGTGAGTGACCCAGTGAGAGCTACAGTCAGCGCAAAGAAAGGGACATAAAATAACTGAAACTCAGTGTCTCTGTGGGAACACAGCAGGGTACCCACAACACTACCCTTTTAGTTACCCAACCTAAGAGCATTATCACTACATCGAACATGTTACATAAACAGGAAGCTTTCTAGGAGACTAAAGTGTTAATCTGTATTCAGTTCAAAAGAAACTTGAGGCTGTCTATGCCTAAACAGTTTGCCACTTTGTTCAGCAAAGAAGCTTGAGAGGAAACAAGCTGGAAGAGCAGACAGCTGGCTCATACACATACCCATTGTGCACCGAGGCTCTTGGATCATTACTTGTTTTCACTTCTATCATGAGCAGAGAGAGGATAAAGAAGAACACTGCCATGGCAAAGCTGATTCGATAGACAGCTCTGTATCCAACAAACACATCGCAGCTGACAAAGCCATTCATATGTGGTATCAGAGTATGAAGCCCCTCATCGCAAAATCCAGGTATCTGCGTAAAGACATATTTAGTTGTGAATTTACATCTGTATTTATAATTATGTTCTTTAAGCATTCTTAACAGCTAAGGCTCTCAGTCAGCTCCCTTCTGGGAGATGTGATAACAAAAGACCTCATGCTCAGCCAGCCTGCACAGTCCTTATGATCATCTTTCTTTCCCCTTGTCATCACTAAAAGCATCCAGGAAGATTAAGATACCAAAGCAGCAGGTCTCTGATAATGACTGGCCAGGTTTCAGAGACCAGGCATGCACTTACAAACATACAATCACTGAATTTGCTATTTCTGCTAGAAGCTGTTCAATACACGCAGTCTCCTAACTCAGGGAGCAAACCACGTTTGGGTGTTTGCGTCTCTCATGTAATCTACTCCAGATACAGACACTCAGTAGTCACTGCCACAAGTAATGGTTTTGCAGACAGTTATAAAGAGGTTTTCCCCTCCATACCTTTTTCAGCTGCTCTTCCATCCCTGGTGCCAGCATAATGCAGGCAAGAACAGTACTGAGGAGAAGGAGGAAGGCATAGATAAGACGCGTCACTGTTGAATTCTTGCTGTTGGGACAACATCGGCACAGTAAACACGAGGCACCACTGCACAGACAGGGAATCTGAAGAACAGAGACAGAAATAGTGAGAGCATTCCCCTTGGACCTGACACTGGGCGTACAACAGCACCGAGAGAGGAAAACCCAACCCCCATTTACAGACACTGTGCTCCCTGCCGGGCTGCACAGATAAACCCTCTAGTCGACATTTCTGGCTGACATCCTATTGACAACACCCGCAGGCCATCTGCCTTATCAGCCCGGACTCCGCCGCCCAGCAGCAG